CTTCTGCTGTTGCACTCTTATTGCTCACCGGCATCAATATATACGTATTCTTGGCATTCTTGGGCGCATCCACCTGGCTGCTCTCATTCGCCGTCTGCTTGCTTCCGGCCAATATGGAGCTCTCGATGCTTAGGCCGCTGTCCAACAGCATAAACGTACCGTCCGAGGGCAGTATGAGGCGTCCCTCGGCCGCAGCATTCACTAGCTCGCGCAATGCATTCACCTGCTTCTCGGTCACATTGCCCTGCAGCTGTATGCCATGCAGAGCAAAGGCCGTTGGCTTGTTGTTCACCGAATTGGGATCGGTGCACCAGACCACGGGCATGGTGGTCATCTTGCTCGGATTACACAACACCAATACCTACAACACCGGCACAACACAATAACAGTAGTTCAATGTACGACGCTCGGCACAAAGTGTTTTGTCAATCTCCCTTGTTTTGCCGGAGACTGTGCGAGCGAGCGGGCAACAAACTGTTAGAAAAAGAAAATAAAACACTTCAATATATATATAAGAAAAAAACACCCATTTTCATTTTCCTTCGTTGTTGTTGTTGCTGTTGTTGTTTAACTTTCTTTGAACTTTACGGTGTTTTTTCCTACAATTGTTTCGTACTGCGCCCAAGTGCTTTTACTTGTTTACACTGTTTTCAGTTTTAAATTTACTGTTTTCTGTTTTCTGTTTCCAATTTTCGATTTCCTATTTGCAAACTTTAGTTTCGTTTTAAAAACATTTTCAGCTCTTGCACAAACTTAATTACTCTACTTCATTATTGAGTATTAAAATATACAAGTTCTAGAGTCGTACAATAAGATACCCTATGAGTATCAAATTATTGCTATAAACATTTCAATTGCTGAAGTTTAAATTGTTCTTCTTTTTTTCCTTTAAAACTTTCCCAATTTTTTGAATATTAGGAAAGTCTGTAAGATCTAGAATTCGCTAAGTAAAGTTTTTCATTTTGCTTTTAGCTTTTGAAAGACTTGGTTTAACATTTTCATAAGCAGAGTTGGTTTCATTTATCAAATAAACTTGTCAATATTATGTTTTGATTTTCGATTAAGATTTCGATCGATAGATATTCCATTCCGCTTCTCAGACTTTCAATCTTTTCTCAGTCTTTTGATAACATTTCTGAATAGTTTAAGTTTAAAGTTAGTTCAAGAGATAGAGAAAGAGAGTATAAGAGAGAGAGTGTGAGAAAGAGAGCGACAACCTTGAAAAATTCAACAAAAGCAATTGCAGTGAATCTACAAGCTAAACGAGTACTTTTCACAGTTAATGACAAAATTTTGTGTATCTATTTTGTATTTTATACGGTTTGGCAAACATCAAAAATACACAGCAAAATAAAGTAAATAAAAACAAAAACAAATTTTTGCGTCGTGTGGATGCCATTCAAAATGATGGCGCTTTTGTCAGTTTTGGAATGCTTTATGCGATTTGCATGTGATGGAATTGAAAGCTGCCATAAAATGTATCACTTTATAGTGTATATACATAGCATATATAAATATATATATTTGATGACTTGATTTGGTCAATCGCAAAAGCAAAATTCATTCAAAAACAATTGCAGAAAATAGGAAAAAAAAAAAAGACTAAAAAAGTTCGAATTGACTGTTAAGCTGTTTATCTATAACAAAAATTGTTAGAAAAAATAAAAAATGTGGAAACTGTTTAATTAAACATATGCTAATTATAAAACAAGTGCATGGCACAACAGAAAATGTTAGAAGATAAGAATAATTGTAAAAGTTCATTGTTTTTTCAAAAGGCACATCAAGGAACCGCAGTTAAACAATACACGACATGTCAGATAACATAAACAGATAGTTACGAGCGCCTGCAACTCTGTTAACAGCTTTAACAGAACATATGTTAAGCTAGAAATGTTACTCCGCCAAATGTCAAATAAATGTTAATGCTAAAGAGCTCATTACATGTGATATAAACAGAAATCAAAGTACTTGGAACATTTTAGGCAGCTGATAAATATTTACGCATAACACGTTATAGCCATAAGCCATATGTACGAGGGAAGAAACAGGTTTTTCAGGGTGCTCAACGAAACTGGAATACTTTATAGTAAGAACTGCACTTACGACTTTTGCTATTCAACCTGAACATACAATAGCTGCAGCACTTCAAGCAACATCAACATAGAGCAGGAATTTGACGAAGAAAAATATGTTTTCCAATGAATTGAGTTAAACAAAAAATGAGTTATTTATATAGCATACAATGTTATTTATCGCAGAATTCTGTAGAATTGTTTATAATTGACCACATGTTAGTTGGGGCAATTAGTTAAAGACACAAATAATATCTACATATGTATATATAATTTGGTACCAGTTGAAAGATGGTTCGAGTATTTGATTTCTACAAATTACGAACTATGCATTTGGACAGCTGTACAAACAAGTTTTATAAGCTTATTTACGATTATAATGGCTAAAAGTTCTTAGATGTTGCCAACCAATTTATAACTAAGCAAATATCATTTTAAGATTTTGTGGTTCAAAGATTTATGAACGTCTCGAGTCGAGTGACAGCTTTTGGTAAAATTCCATGAAAATTTCTGAAGTTTTTTATTCAGATTATTTTATTATAATTTTTTGTTTGTGGGCTGTTTGAGCTTGAAATAATTGGTAACAATTATGACGGAGACGTAGCTTAATGCGGCCAATAACCACAACAACAACAACAACAACAACAGTAGCAACTGAAGGTGGGCTTCATTAGCTGACCAATGAACTTTTTTTTTATGCCATGTAAGTGCATGAAAGTACGCATGTGTGCGTGCGACTGTCTGTGTGTGTGTGTGTGAGTATGTAAATAAGTGTGACTTCAAGGCTGCATTGCCGCAAATGGAAATGGAAACAACTTGGACAGCAGCAGTCGCAGAGCAGTTCAAGTTTACGGTGACTGACTAACTGACAACAACATGCCGACAAAGCAAACAGCCCAAGATCGAGGTAGGGGAGTGGCCGGGTAGGGGCGGTGCTGAAAAGAGGCGGGCACTTGAGACGAAAAGCGATTTACAGATGCTCAGAAGCGAACAGCCTAGGCAAGCATTGAAGTGAACATCCTGCGAGACAGACTGGAGACAAATGGCTTTAGTTACGCACAAAAGACAATAAACGAACGTGGCTGATGATCATAAAAAAAACAACAACAGCCGACAACAACAACAATGGGAACAGTAGAGGTAGCAGCAGCAGCAGCAGCAGTGGCTACCTCAACAGCAACAATATTTACTGCTACAGCAGCAGAAAGAGCAACAACAGCATCTTTTACTCCAAAAGGAGCAATATCAACAGAAGTTGCAGAAATATAGACTACAGCAGCAACTGTGGCGGTTCCTGCTACAACATCGGCAATAGATGTAGCAACAGCAGGAGTAGGAGCAGGAGCAGCAATTTTAGCTACAAGAGCAACTACAGCAGCAACTGTAGCAACAATAGCAGCAACTGCAACAGCAGCTGCAGCAATATCTAGCTACAGCATCAGAAACAGCAACTACAGCAACAGCAGCTACAACAGCAGCAGCAATAACAGCCACAACAGCAACTATAGCTACAGCAACAGCAATATTACATACAACAGCATCAGCAAATGTCAATGTCAGCCCACAAAAGAAATCGAAAACAGCAAACAATACAAAAAAGAGAGAGACAAAAACTGCATCAAGGCGTTTCGAATTTAATTCTTTTGTTTCTGTACATATATAGCCATAAATTGAGAGACGGCTTAAGATTCAATATCCAATATGCATAATTTAAGAATGCAAAAAGCTAACTACATTTTTACTTTTAAGACGTACAAAAAAATTTATTATAAGTAATTTTATTTTATGGAAAGAAACAAATTTCTATAGGGCATCAGGTGGATAAGACAAAATATTGAAGCATTTTGCCTTTAAGACGTGCCCGGTTTGTAAAGAGCATCTATATTATATATTCCATGTATAAGATATATTCTATAGAGTAGACAGTGCATAATGTAAAATATCAAATATCGTAGCATATTACGTAGAATGCCTCTCCTTCTCCTTCTAGTTTCTCTTCCAAGATAATCCCTTACTCCGAAGACTATCCCAGCTTACATTCCAGCTGAATGGCGTTCCCCTTTGATGTTTGAGTTCTACTTTTATCTAATTAATCTTCAAAAACCTCTCCATTATGCACTCAAAAAAGCTATAAGGAATTTCTATTACGAGATGCCTGGACAGCTTAAGATGACCGATTTAGATAGAGCGGTTCTTAAACGATTAATTAAATTTGCATTTTATCTCGATCTTTCTCCTACATTTTATACAACATGTAAACATTCTAAATGCTGTAACATAAAAAAAAAAAACACAACTAATAAATAAAAGTTTAAAATACTGATAAATCTTTTCAGATCTGTGTGCTATAAGTTGACAAATTGTTTAGCTATATTACTTTTAAAATTTATTTCAAAATTTTTCTATTGTAGGTTTTCTGTCACCAAATCTTTGATTAATAGCTTTCGAAATTTATCTAAATGTAAATCATTTTTATCGATTAATAAATCAATTTGTTCTAAGCTGAGACATTTGTTTGCCTATAATTTTGATTGATAAATTTGAGCAATTTACTATGACTTCTAGTGTATAAAACTTGTGATTAGTTTGCTTAATAGAGGGCCATTATTTAACGATTATGAAATGTGATTGATCGGTTAAAGGGCTTAGTGTAGTGCAGATGACCCAGTTTATAAAGTGATTCTTTGATTTATATATATGGATCTATAAACACAGTTAGATTGCCCAAATTATCGATAAATTGATTACATGAATCGTTAAGTTATTGTTTAAAATATCGAACAAATTTAACTTTCGCTCTTCGTTTCGGCTTTTATTGTAAACTCTTAAAGAATCCATACGAGCTTCCATTGAAACCGTTCTTAAGACTTCTTTTCATAGCGTATAATAACATATTGTAGTCACATGAGTATTTTGTTTCTTTTAAAGAGAAAAAAAGACAAAACAGCTGTGCTTTTAAAACAAAAGCAACAATTAGAAAAAAAAAGAAAGAAAAAAATCCCATATAACGCATATATAAAAGCACGCATAAAACCTGTCCGACCAGAACCACCGACGAAAGTGGTTGTAGATAAGAAAAGATACATGTTTATGAATATATTCATATACCATATATTAATTAGCTGAATTTAGTCACAAGCTTTGTTTTTATTAAAAAAAACAAAAGCAAAACAAAGTCGCAGTTATGCACTTCTGGCTCAACAAAAATAAAAAATAAAAAAATTAATAAATTAAATTTAATTTAAAAAAAGATTTTCTATGCAAAAAAAAAAAAATAAATAAAAAAATTCACGAATCGGAAGGCTAACACTAGTATTAGTCAGACGGACTGTGAGTATGCAAAAACTGAAATGCCTGCTAATAGATGTTTAATAAACGATTTTGGTTTCTAGGTTTAGCGACGTTTTGTCAATGGAATGCCAAAGCTTGTGGCATTAGAACTAGCAAGGTTAGCAGCGGAAGGCAGTAGCCCTGCCACGCCCCCAACCGAGACTTCTGCAAGACTGACCTATGCTAACCGAATTCGAAATACGTTACAAAATCAAGGTGTAGGCGGTGCAAAAAAAAAAAAACAAATTTGAGTTTTGTTATTTAGCTTGGCTTGGCTTGACTCTCGGCTGGTTTTGGAGCGCGTGCCAAGAAAACTGAAACAAGACCAACATAATAACCCAGCCATAATGAGTGAAGTGTTAACCATTGTTAAAGTGTTTTTGCTGCTGCTGCTGCTCAAAGGTAACAATTGCACTCAAAAGTACTACGACCCAATTTGAACCGGTTTGTATTTTCCATTTTTGCTCATTGTCTTTGGCTCAGTATATGCGTGTGTGTGTGTGTGTGTGTGTGTGTGTAGATTAGTCAAGCGTTTGGCTGTTTGGTTAGCAACAATGCTGTCAAACTTTTGCTGGCCGCAACATTGTTGCCAAGCATTTGTTGCCAGGCAAATTATGAAATGCGCCGTCGCCACGACCCTCACACACACACACACACACACGCCAAATTATTAATAATCAACTAATTTGAGGCGGGACAGACATGGCAATTCGAACTAAAACTTTAATATACGAGCACACACATACATACTTTCTCCACACGAAAAAAAAACAGCCCAGAGCGCAGCTTCCATTTTATGTGCAAATTAAAACCAAGTTTAAAAATTGTAAAAAAAAAAAAATAACTTTGGTTGGCTCACACAGCTAACACAGATACAACAACAACTACAACAACAAAACGTAGGCAAAAAACAGACGAAAAATAAGCTTGGCTTTGATTTGGGTCATTGCACAATGGTAACGAGAGCGTCGACTAAATTTAGTAGCGCCAAATAACTTTGGACACGAAGAGTTCAGCAGCCCCCGAAAAAAGCGCACCCAGCACAAAAAAAAAAAAGCTCAATTTTTGAACAGCCTCGGATGTAATTATTGCAAATGGCCTGGAAACTGTTCAGGCTAGAGCTTAAATAGCTTCCCAAAAATAACAACAATAAAAATTCCAAAACGAAACGAAGCAGAAAACAAGAGTGCTCTAGTGGGGAGGGCTTGACTAGAGGATACGCTAGAGTACATGTGGAGAAACTATATGGACATGACATTAAGCAACAGGCAAAGGATCTATAGACTGGAGTTTTTCTCAGTTTGGGTTGAAAAGAACTTGCCTTGAAGCTATAGGAGAATACTTAAGTGAAGCTCATACAAAATACAGAAGTTCAATATCTATTTTATATCACTTATCGATAATCAATATAACAAAGTTGATTTTCGTGTGGTTCGCACTTCACAATAATCCTAAATTCAAGTCTTTAGCTCTTAAACAAGTTTGATCAAGTCAACTTAAATAAAAAACTTCATCCCATTTTTGCTGCATACATCATACCCATTTCCCACCACTTTTAGGGTATCGAAAGAAGATCGAAAGCTGTGTGTTTTGCCTGAAGTATGTACGTTAAAAAAAATGAGAGTGAAGCTCCTTCGACAACCAGTTTCGATATGTGGACTTTAAGCATGAAATACCCAAAAGAAAAAACAACGCAAACAACGTTATATTTCTTGGTATTAAATTCCAAGAAGTATACGTCATTGTGGGAAATTTCCATCGCTCAAAATTCGCACAAATTTTTGATTTCATATAACTGCCAATTTGGAGTTTTTATGAACAAGTGAATGCATTAAGTGCTAAGGTCACTCATCTACATATAATGCATATGATTAAGCGTCGACTAGCAATTCCTACAAATTTTCATCATATAAAAGGAGCTGAAGATTTGAGTCTATATTGCTACCAAGAATACATTTATGTTTAGCTACATTTCTTTAGAAATTCAGGCAGGAAGTTTCACCAAAGACAACTTTATATTAACAAAAAATTTTGGTATATATACCTATAAGTATGATGAATACAAACATATATAAACACATATAATTCAGTAGGAATTGAATCGATATAAATACCCAAAAGTGAAATAAAAATTCCACACAATGCCTAGCTCTAGACAGGAAGTTGATCGATTTTTTATTAGATATGTAAATCGTTTATAAAACAAATAAAACTGCATATTTTAAGAACA